GGTTTTTGGTGGGATTTCAGCCTTCTTCTCACTCGTTGAATGAATCAGACAAGATCTGGCGTCAATTTGATTGATAATGGCTGGGCAGAGATAGCTGAACTCCGTTGCATTCAGTGGAACCTGGATGCTCATGCCATGAGACATAAGCAGCTTTGATGCATTGAAACACTGAAGGAAACAAAGCAGTGAACATTATAGAAAGCCATTCCCATCAGAGAAAATGTAGTTTGATCACATACCCTTTCTCTACTAAAAGTACTTCTTTAAGTCAACACAACTTAAAATCAACTTCTGGTTTCAGTACTTTGGAACTTTTGCCTCTAGCTATGTGGAGGAAGTGACACTGTGGTAGTATGCTCCCTTCTGCCTGAGAGAAGTGGTTAGGTCATTAGTCACACAGGGAGAAAACCTCAAGTACAAACAGCTTGGGGATAAATGAAGATTCACAAGGCTGTTAACTCATTACATAAACCTATTAAGGAAATGAGCTTTAATTCTGACATAGGATTCAGTAGGGATTGAGAAATATATTTTAGTACTAGCTATCCTATGTGGCCTCAACAAGCCCAAGACATGTTTTTCCATCAATGACTCTACTTGAAAACTCAGCTCAGTTCTGACTACATACCTGGCAAAATAATGTTCTACAGCGGGAGGTTATTAAATTATGCAGATTTCTCTTGCAGTGCTGGTTAATAAAACAAACCTGTCTCAGCAGGCAGATGTTTTCAACAATTTAACTGGGCAACAACCTTGAAGAGAAATTCCTTTAGGCAATTTAGCCTTCCCTCCAAAAACAAAACGAAACAGTAACAAAAACTCTGCCTGTTTCTTGTGTTCTGTAAAGATATTTCAAACTCCCACAATTCTTGGACAACACCATTAAGAAGAAACTTCATTACCAGTTTTTGCTATGGTTATGACCATTGGTAGGATTATTCCAAACTTATCTTAGTACAGGAACCTGCTGCTTGGAAGTACTCAAGTTTTTATTAAAGTAAATCAATCAATTCTTTTTTTCTTGATATCGTTCATTCAAGGTGAAATAGGTGGAGTTTGGAAGTATAATCTAGAAAAACCAGATGAACTCTGAACCTTACCAACCAGACTTTGAGCTTATCTAGCATGAAGTTCTAGGTAGCCACTTCAATTTTCAATTACTCTACAAATTACTCTTAGCCTTTTGCTAAGGAGGCCACACTACCCTTGCTGTCCTTCAGCCTGTTCAGCCACACTTTTTTCTAAAACATGGATTCTAACGCCTACTTTTCAACATTTCCATTTTCTATTTTTTATGAATATTCTCTTTTAAAACATTTCTCCAAAAATAACCTTAATATCTTGCTGTGTGCATTTTCCATTTTGTACATATTAAAAAAAAATTCTAGAGCTGGGGATTTAGCTCAGTGGTTTCACCGCCTGCCTTGAAAGTGCAAGGGCCCAAGTTTGATCCCCAGTACCAAAAAAAAAAAATTCTAGCAGGCAGCTAGAATTTCACCAAAGATCTACTCCCCAAGTTATGTATCAGGAATGTTTACAACATGGTAGGCTTACTGTGTCCCAAGTACCTTGCAAGAAAGAAGAAAAATTTCCTTCAATAAATTTACTGTTTAATTTTACTTTATATTCCTTACAACTAGAGATAAGAATGGCAACAACAAGACAGACAAGCAGGTATATTAAAGTAATGAAGAGCTTTTATCTTACCTCCTGAATATTGTCATTTATGTTTCTCGAATACATGAAGCCCTTTCTGGGCTCACTCACAGACTCATTGGTTTTCCTACCAACCAGCAGTCCCACCCAGCTCCTTTCTGTGATGCTGGGTGGGGTGGAACTGGTTACTTCTTTGGGGAGTTTTCCAGGTTTTGGAGTCTCTATTGTCTCTAGAAAGTGAGTTCCTTCAGAGACAGTGTTATACATGGTTGAGGTCACTTCACCAGCACTGACAACCTCCTTGCCATTCTTTCTACCACTGGCATGTTGCAGGCGGTGAGATCCTTTCCCCTGGCTGTTTCTACGATCTTTACCTGAACCATCAGAGTCATGGTCTGGACAAACAGCTTTCCGATTATTTTTACCAGAAGCAGCATGATTATGATGAGTGTGACGATCGTGGTCAGAGTGATGCTCATGGTCATGGTGGGTATGGATTCTTTTAATCTTTTCTATGCCTATATTCTGAAGCAGTTTTCTGAACCCTTCAATTGACAAGGAATTGTTCTCTCCATAGCGGTAGAAAAGCTGCTGTAGATGATGTTGCCGAGAGGTCACTGCTGTGTCAACATTAATGCCAGATTCCCAATTTAGATTAATTTTCTCAGTGGTCTGAGAGAAAGCAGCAGCTGATTCTAGTTCATGAAGGGAATTTGTGACCAACAAGGCAAAGGTCAGCACCAAGATTACAGATAAATTCCTCGCCATTGCACCTTCCTAGAAAAGAGGAAAAATAAATTCTTGACCCACTTCTAAAACAATTTGAATTTAAAAACTTCAAGCTGAAAATTAACATCTAATCAAATAATCAAAGTTTACAGAGCATCATCTGGTGTGGTGCTAGGTACTGTGAAGAGGCACAGTCCTAAGATTTCTCCTTGCATTGCTAAAGTGGAGAACAGTGAGTGCCCAGAGACTGTAATCAGTACTATAAAATCAAGAATAATTCAGAGACAAGAGAGATCCACATGGTCACAGACACACTTCAACTTCTTAGTGTACTGAGAAAATGATTTAAAACCAAACCAAACCTAACTAACCACCCCATCACCAACATTTCATAAAAGAACCTTTAAACACCAAAAAAGCAAAAATTATCTCAGAATTCGTATTTAAAATTTTTTCTTAAACTGATATATTCTCCTGATATAAAAATCCATTTAAGGCCTCTCTTTCCCCCCATCCCATTCCTCAAAGTTGTTCAATTTTACCAGGTTGTTTTCTTTTTCACGTATCAGTATATTTTCTCTTAAATGACTGTATAATAGTTCTTTAAATAGATTAAAATTCATGAAAACTCACTGTATTGTTCCTACATTGCTACAAACCTACTACTATTACCCATTCACACAATAGTATATGAAACCCAAGGAGGAGTTAGGAATCCAGGTGGGGCTTGAGAAGTCAGTTAAGGAGAGAAAGGTATAGTCAGATCACTGGAGAGAAGGATAGCTCAGGACCCACTAGATATCCAGCACTAAGGACAGATGGTTGACAGTACCAAACTCATGTATCCAGCGAAAGATCCAGAGGTTGGGTTTTGTACCAAAAAAATAAAAAACAAAACCTGGGGCAACCAAACCCTACTACTTGCAAGGCTGTTCTTACCTGAGCCAGGCTCTCACATTCATGATCTCACCTGAAAAGCTGGTAACATCTATTGTGCAAGTTGAACAAGGAAAACAAATGTACGTTAAATTCAAGTGTTGCTCAAGCCCTCATTGCCAGAAGGTAACTAGCCTAGAACTAGGTTCCTTACGGAATCTTAGGGGCCTGAAGTTTTTAGCTTCTTTTGTTTTGAGACAAGGTCTCACCCTGCAATCCTGATTGGCCTTGAAATCACTACAGCCCAAGTTGGCCTCGAACTTGCGGTCTGATCCTCCTGCCTCAGTCTCCTGAGTGTTAATTATTACAGGGTTACGCCACCACGCCTGCTTTGGTGGCCTGAAGTTTTACAAATTCACTTAACAGGCAAAAGAAAACCACTAAAAATCATTCCCAGGAGTTGAGGCGATGCTCGGAGTGGGTGGGGACAAGCAAGGGGGCAACTCCAAAAGGCTCTGCGTCTTCCTCTGGGAGGATGCTGAGGGCGATCGCGGACTGGTTAGAGGATCTCTTCCCCGCAGATCTGCGTGGATTGGACAAAAAAAAAAAAAAAAGCCTAAAGAAAAGGCCTAGGATAACACGGAGAGTGGAGAAAACGGAAAAGAGGACACAAAGCTTTGCTTCCGTCACGAGCTTTTAAAACGCGTCAGTACCTTCTTTGAATACAGGATGAGAAGTACAGCCCGTCACCCCAAAGTATTCTGTTGGACCCCCGAGGCCCATTTGGGCATCCCAAGTCGGGAAGTCCAGCTCTTCAGGGCGAGAGGGCGCCGGTGGAGGACTCTCCCACAACATCCCTTCTCTGCAGCCCCCCGATCGGCGGACCCTGGGTCGCGGGGCTCCCTTCCCGCCGCCTCCCAGACCTGCGGAACTCACCTCTCCGCCGCCTCGCCGTCCCACGACCGGGCCCCACGAGCGGATTCGGTTCCCCGAAGGAGTTCCGGACGGTGGGGACGGGCCCGCGGTGGTCTCTCGAAAAAGCCTTTACACCGTGCGCAGATGCGGCGGTCTACTGGGTCCCACCAAGCGGCCTCCAAGGGCCACGCCCAGCGCCCTCGCCTCCAGGAGTCACAGCGCCTCGAGCCACGCAAAGCCGGGGACCGCCGCCTCCCGCAGCAGGCACCGCGGCGCACGCGCAATGCGGCTCTGGAACCCCCGACTCCACCGATCCGCTTTTCCGCGCCTTCCTAGACCCTCGGGCTCGCAAAAGGCGGGGGAGCAGGGGCGCCGAGCCGGAGGTGCCTGCAGGGTCTGAGTGGACCGGATCACTTAGGGATCCTTTATTCCGAACCCTTCTGCGCCCCTGGGCTTCTCTGAGGCCCGAGTGTGGCTGGAAAGGGGCCCTCGGAACAGCTCGGTCTGGTGATGGGAGCCGGGCCTTGAGGGGCAGCCCTGGCACTAGAGCACTGGTCTTTCTTTGGGGTCCCGAGGTACTCCAGTGGGACGTGCCTCGTGCGCGGGGCCACAGCCCAAGAGATGGTAGCTGAGAGCCGCTGGCCGGAGAGATACAAACTGGAAAGTGCGGCGTCGCGCTCGCGTAGGCGAAAGCTGTGGCGAAGCACAAGGCCGGCGAGGGCGAGAGCGGGGGCGGGGGCGGGGGCCGAGGGGGCGGGGCGCTCACGTCCCGCCCCCAGCGTCTCTGAAGCGCCGACCGGCTGTCGCCGCCCAAGAGGCTGTTGCGGGAGTAGTTCCGCTCCCTGGGCGGAAGTGCGCGCTTAGGTTTCGGCTGCCGACCAGCCGGCGTCATGGTGGTGCCTGTGCTAGAGGCTGCTCACGTGTTTTGCTGCCCGAATCGGGTGCGGGGAGCCGTGAGCTGGAGCCCTGGGCCCGGAGGACTTCTGGCCTTTGGCACGTCCTGCTCGGTGGTTCTCTATGACCCTCAGGTAAAATCATGGTTGGATGTCCTACCCCCTGTGCTTCTGAGGCCGAACCTGTTGGGCACACTTGGGGCGGGGCTATAAATTGCCTTGCAGACCTCGGAGAGCCCGTGGCTGTGTAGTCCGCCCGGGGAAGGAGGCGTTGCAGGGACCCTCCCGTGCGCGCGCTGGTATCGCCCTCTGTTGCGCGCGGCATCCGTCGAGGGACCTCGTGGCCCGGGTCCTGGCCGTGGTCTGTGAGCTCCGCGCTGAAACCAGACGAGGAGATCCTTATCTGAAGCCGTCCCACGATCTGTAGTACTATTCAAGTATCTATTTGGATTTTAAAATAATTGAAATTTAGGTATGAATTAAAGCCATCATCCCATAGATGGAATCTCAGCTCTGTATTTCCCTCAGTGTGAGGGAACTTGTATTGAATTTCAAATAAATATTATCAATTTTTTAAACTAGGAGAATGCACAGTTTAACGACTGTCACTTGGGGAAAGGTTCATAGGGGATGGGGCTCCTAAGCACTGCTTTTAAGCCAGAAGTTATCTATTCCCAGAATTTGTCAGTTTAAAAAAAAAATTACCACACTCCCTACCACATTTCTCAAGTAAGTAATTTTGCATGCTATCCAAGTTTTACTATCATACCATTTCCCCTGGTTAATTAGGATGATAAAGTTATTCTTGTATCTCAATAGGCGTCTCAAACAAAAAATATGGGAGTCTCAGTATAAGGGTAAAATGCAGACATAAGCCAAATTAAACCTCTTTTTTTTTTTTTTTTTCCGTACCTGGGATTGAACTCGGGTCCTCGTGCTTGTGCAACAGGCGGCGAAACCACTGAGCTAAATCCCCAGCCCTTAAATCTCTTTTTAAAAAAATGAAATGCAGAAAATTAAAGTGCAGTGCAGATGTCCATGCATTTCTTATCCTACTGCTTTATTAGTTTGATTTAAGTCTATTCTCATATCTTTTGCAGATCCAGATTGCTATATGAAATATTTTTATTCACTTTTTTGTATCTTGAATTTGCTTATCACTTCTGGTTTTTGTTTCTTGTTAATTGCCATGTATTTTTTTTTTTTTGCCATGTATTCTTAAGTAGCAAGAGAAAGCACGTAAAACCAAGGAAACACTTTGTAATTACCATCAACCAAGGACTAAGTCATAGAAGCCCATCTTTGTGCAGCAGTTCAATAGATTTGTTGCCATGCCTTCCATCAGATTTTTAATGTTAACTTAATGGCCACATTAGGGGATTTAAACATATAAAAAAGTACTTTTTTGTTAAATATTTACTGGTTGAGTGTTTAATTAAACATAGGAATAAGGGCAAGTTAAACGTTAAAATGAAGTTTTGGAAATTATGGTTATTTAGCATCCTTTGAGAATCCTGTATGAACTAGCATTCTATGGAATAGAGGATGATGGCACAAGGTAATGTGTATTTACCCCTTTCTATTAAGGAATTTAATCTAGGGGGAGAGAGAATGGAATACAGCCCACGTGTGAAACATTAGTTTCTATGTATTTGCCTCTGTGGCCCTTTTCCCCTGCCATGAGAGTTCTGGTTGGCATATAAGCAGACATAAAGCTGGTGCTGTTGACAGCAGAGAAAGGAGCTGTAAAGAAGAAAGTAAAGTAGTCTTAAAATTAAAATCTTTAGACGTGAGTGAAGGAAGGATGCTCAAGTGTGGCATGATTTGGTAAAAGCAGCAGGCTGAGGATCTGTTGGGACCCTGGTACACCTTGCAGGGATCCCTTGGACCTTAGTAGTTGTGTGTGGCTTCAAGACCTTGTTTCACTAGGGCTGAAGAACCTGCCACAGGATCAGCCGTAGCATGGAAAGTGAACCATGAATTTGTATACCCTAATTATGAATTCCACTGTCGAAGGAGTTTTTGTTAATGAAACCCCCAAATTCATGCAAGCATAGTAAAAGTAGTCCCCAAAGCCTGTGGAACACAAGGAAAAGGATGCTTCTCTAGCGTCAGAGTGTCAAGGTGAGAAGAAAGGAGTGTGTGAACACTGTGGGAGAGTAAGTTGAACTAGGCAGATGCAAACCTTGGAGCTCAATGTAATGAGAACACAAAACATTAGGAATGTGGAGATTGTTGAAAAGTAGGAATGATCTAGAGTGAATGAAAGGGTTAAGCCACAGTTAATAAAGTTTTACCAGTCAAGGGAGGCAACTATGTTGATGTAACTTCCATCTTATTACTATTAAAAAACACAGAAATCTGATTTTATTAATTTAATTGCTCTGTAGCATAAATTTACTAATTGCTGTTTTCTTCTCTTAAGCAAAGGGTAGTTGTTAGCAACCTGAATGGTCACGCTGCTCGAGTCAATTGTGTACAATGGATTTGTAAACAAGATGGCTGTAAGTATTAACCTGATTGTTAAAGGCTGATCTCAGTTGTTTTCTGAGAAAGTATGGTTAATCATTTTTCTTTCAACCCATCTCTTTAACTTAGCATTACTTTATGCAGTGTTTTGTTTGAAAAATAAAAGAAAAATGGTATGCCCAGTGAAATATCTGACCTGTCTTTTCAGTTTGTAGAAGTTGAAGCACAGATAACACAGCAGTGTTTAGGGTGAAGATAGAGACACACTTTGACTGTGGCAGTACCCTCTCCTACTCTACCCCTCAAAAGCCCACAGCCTTTGATTAAAAACCTGTAAGTAGGATGTAGGCTGAGACTGGCATTCAGAAGACCCAGCTTCCCGATCTGTTTCTGTGACAATCTGTTGCTTTTTTAAAATGCAAAACAGTGCATCTCTGTTAACCCCAGTTTGCTCCACCTGTTAGTAAGGTACACATAGGCCTAGATCAGAGATTCATGAGGGTCAGAATTATTTTCATAATAGGACCAAGAATTAGTCATAGTTTTCAAACATATCTGTTACATGCATAGTGGAGTTTTCTAGCAGCCATACGATGTGTGATAATGGGATAAATTAAAATACAGAAGCAGATACAAAAATCCAGCTGTAGTCTAATATAATCAGACATTGAGATTTGCAGAAATGTGAAAGTGTCTCTCCTTATGAACTTTTTGTTCTGAAATACATTGGTGGCTTCCTCTCACCCCTATGAAAATATTATTTGTGTTAACATACTGTGGGCTTCCTCATTATTTTTATTTTTTGGTACTGGGAATCAAACTCAGGACCTTGTGCTTGCCAGGCAAGTGTGGCGCTACTGTCTCATTTCAAAGTTAGCTATTAAATATTTTTCAAATTTTTCAGTTTTAATTTCTAATATACTTAATATTAGTAACATGGCCCATATAATCAAAAGCTTTTTGGGATCCTCAGAATTTTTTTTTAAATAATTAATTACATTTTCTTTGCTAATACTGGGGATTGAACTCAGGACCTTGAGCTTGCAAGGCAGGCACAGCGCCACTGAGCTAAATCCCCATCCCTAATTTTTTGTATTTTAAAAATGTTTTACTAAAAAAAAAAATTAAAACAAAACAACAACAAAAAAAGGGCTGGGGATTTAGCTCAGTGGTTTCTGCTGCCACCTCCTGCGCAAACTCAAGGACTGGAGTTCGATCCCCAGTACAAAAAAAAAAAAAAAAAAGTATTAATTGGGGCTTGTGCATTTCATCTTTCCTTTAAAGTGATTGAAGGGCCTGGGATTTAGCTCAGTGGTGCAGTTGCCTGCCTCATAAGCACAAGGTTCTCAGTTTGATCCCTGGTACCCCCCCCCCAAAAAGTGATTAAAAATAGCAGGAAAAAATGAAACAAAGCATTTGTACATAGGGAGGGGAGGGGGCTTGAAGGAGGGAATGGGATAAAATAAAATTTATTAAAAAAATAAAATACGGCCAGGGATTTAGCTCAGTGGTTCCGCCGCCTGCCTTGCAAGTGGAAGGCCCCAAGTTCAATCCCCAGTACAAAAAATAAATCAATAAATAAAATAGAAGTGAGGTTACATAAAATGAATTACATGTGTATCATTGCAATCTGTAACTATTATGATTGATTTCCTCTAAGAAAAGGACTCTCCGTAGATATAGTAATTTAGAGATCCTTTATGGCCATTGTGTTAAGGACATAAGATTTCAATAATACCATTTGATATTCTGAAGATGTCTGGTTTCTTAATATACTCTTTTTGTGTACCTTATTACACTTATTCTCAATGTCATGGAAATAAATGGCTTAATTTCTATGAAGTTAAGCGACTGAAGCCTAAGGTCACGGGTGTTTTGTGGCCGAGTTAGGACATGAACCTGGGACTTGTGAGCTCAAGTCTAATGCTATTTATTAGCTGAATTTTTTTTTTTGGTACCAGAGATTGAACTCAGAACCTTGCACTTGCAAGGCAGGCACAGCACCACTGAGCTAAATCCTCCAGCCTTGAAATTTTTTTTTTGGTATCAGAGATCAAACTCGGGTCCTTGCACTTTCAAGGCAGGTGATGGAACCACTGAGCTAAATCCCCAGCCCTCTGAAATTTTTAATTATGCTCTTTAGACTATCTCTCAGCTGCCTCCCCTAAATATCTAGCACATATACCAGGAAAAAAAAAAAGAATGGAAAATCTAAACCAAAGTTATATTATTTCCCCCCTTTTTTTGGTACTTGTCCCTTTTCTTTTTTCCATGAAATTGTAGATATTTAAAATAGCTGTTTTGATATATATGTCTAATCTCAAAAATAAGTCAAGCTTGATAGCAGCTCACTATACTTTCTCGTATGTTATTTGTTCCAAAAGTGTTTAGCATGTATCTAAGAAGGAAATAATCAGAAAAATCCAGATTAAGGGACACTGTGCAAAACAACTGGCCTGTATTATTGTCACAAAAATTAGGAAACTGAGAAAATGTCCTAGATTAAAGGAGACAGCAGAGATGTGGTTACCAGCTGTGCACTGTGTGATCCTTAGATTCTGAATTCAAAACAAGCTACAAGTGATATTACTGGAACGATTTGGGTTATTTTAATATAGACTGTATTTACACACTAGTACTGCTCACTATTAAAATTCTTGAATATTATAATTGAGATTATGTAGGAAAATATTTGGGAGATAGATGAAAAAGTCTGAGGATCAGCAGTCACAATGTTCGCAGTTTATTTTTTATTAAAATTATTAACATATAGTGTATAAATTAATGGGGCTCGCTGTGATAGTTCCATACATGCATACATCATGTGTTGGTCATGTCTATCCACCCTTCTAAACTCTGCCCTCTCCACACTACCCCTAGACTCCTCCCCAGTCCAATATACTGTAGTTTCTCTTTTACTTTCAGGTCATTTTTTTTTTTTAACTTCCACATATGAGAGAAAATATACAATACCTGTATTTCTGTATCTGGCTTACTTCATTTTCCTTGCAACCCTCTAGTTCCATTCATTTTCTTGCAAATAATAGGATTTCATTCTTTATAGCTGAATAATACTTCACTATGTATGAGGTTGATCAGAAAATAACAATGAAGGTTTACATTTTTAAAATTATAGTAAAAGGCATATTTACATTGACTCTCCGCAAGATCACCCTATCCCCAATTCAAGCACGGGTATTCCTTTTTTCTTGCCACTTTCTTTTATATTCACTATGTACTGCAAATATGTACTAATCAAAATAATGTAGTAAATTTCACACAGAATAATAAAAGGAAATGAAGCTTGGACACATGAAAAAAAAATAAATACCAGAGCAAAGTGAAGCAAAGCCTGCACAGACCTGAGACCCTCTACCTGGGAGACAAGGGTCCTTCATGCATGCAAGCCGGAAGAACAAAGTGACAGCTGTCCTGAAACCAAGCACACACTGATAGGATTATTGTGGCCCATCTTGGTATAATAGGAATGCTCATTTTCGTAGTACTTTGCTCTGTACACAACCCAGTGCAGACACATGGAGAGTTTGCTGTATGCTGACTTCCTGAGATACTCAGAAGCAGCTTACCTTTGAGGGAGACAAGCGAACCCACACTCCAAGTACTTCAGTGAGGACTGAATAATGGAACAGAAAGTGAACACAACACTCAGGCAAATTTTCTCAATCCTCAGTTTCCCCCCACTCCGCCTCTGTACCGCTGCTCAGGACCCTGATGCCTCAGTTCTAGTTCTTGCCACTTTTGCATGCAATTCTGGAAGTTTTCTTTTATGACTGACTTTAGTTGTACTGAAGTGACAACACTGATATTTTACCTTCCTTGGTCATTTTGACTTTGAGGAAGAACCAGAAGTCACACACTGCCAGATCTAGTGAATAAGATGGATAAGGACACACCATGATGTGTTTATATGACAGAAATTGCTATACATGTAACTAGACTGCTTCAGAAAGTGGCAAGAAAAAAAAAAGTGGCAAGAATGTTGGATAAATGTGTTCAAAATGAAGGGTAGCATTTTGACAGATCAATGACAATGTGCCCTTTACTGTAGTAATTTTTAAAAATTAAACATTTTTTGTTCACACTTCAAATATGTATCATGTTTTCTTCATCTGTTGAGCAACTTATTTTTAAATGTTTGGAAAACGTGTTTAAATACATGTATGTATATATATAAAGAGTAAAAAATAGGGTGTTCTTGTATGTTTTCTGTAGCTTTGAAATTTTTAGAACTAGATGGGGGAATCAAATGAATAAAAATATTTATTGAGACATAATTTTTTCAGCTCCTTCTACTGAATTACTTTCTGGAGGATCTGACAATCAAGTGATTCACTGGGAAGTAGAGAATAATCAGGTAAGTAGATATTTATAAGAAATGACATCTTTTAATTTCATTTTTCCTTTCATTTCTTTTTCATTTATTTTAATTTTTTGTTTTTGGTACCAGGGATCTAACGCAAGACCTTGCTCTGCGAGGCAGGCACAGCGCCACTGAGCTAAATCCCCAGCCTATCATTTATTTTTTTCTGTGTGATGTTCCCTCCTTTTTGCTTATCTGTAATCCAGATGGTGTATCTTCTGCACTTCATAGCCCCTGTGCTCCTCCCTCTAATTTCTGTCCCCATCTGCATATGCTGTCCATCATCTCTGAATTTCTTGTCATTTTTTAATACTTTTCGAGCTGTTCTTACATTAACTTTCTGTTTTCAGTGACAGTAAAAATCAGTACTGCTGTGTTAGTAGGGCAGCTGTTGCCAGGTGAATATAGATCTACATGATTCTGAATGATATGGCACATGGTATGGAAGGTCCTCTACCCCTGGACAGTTAGGTTTTTTCCTACTGCTAATCAAAAATGTGAAAAGGTTAGTGCATTAGATATTTGAACATCTGCCACACAGAAGATATAGTTAAAGTAAAGACCTTCATAAAACAGGTGCAGTTCATGGTTCTGAAGGCAAAATGTACTTATAAATACAAGTGACTTCATGGGTGAATGTGCTAACTTGCTGCCCCACAACCATAGCGCTGTAAGAGTTCAGAAGAGATGGACTTTGAGTTGGGGTTTAAATGTGGGATGATTATCTTGGGAGAAGTTAAAGGAGAGAGAGTCCAAGTAGGACAAAAGTAGCAATTCCCAAAATTATTACATGTATGAAACTTGCCTCCCCCCTTAAATCTCTTGGCATCTCTTAGAACTCTGAGGAAGATGGTTTTGGAAGTATTAGGAGATAATACATTGAGGGCAGTAATCCTAGAGAAGTAGAATAGGAAATCATGTGGGAATTGGAATACTAGTGTTAAGAGTTTGTTCTTTTTATTAGCATTTGGAACTCGATGATTTCTAAAACACAGGAGTAGAAAATTAATCTGATGGTAGTGTGGCAAATTAGAAGAGGGGAAAATATGAAGGAAACAAAATCTGGTATTTTTTAAAGGAAAAATGAGTTTGGCATTAAGAGGGTAGATGTCAAAGAAGTGGGAATCTATCTGATGGGCGGGGGAATGAGCAATCAAACACAATGGGATTCTGTCTTAGGGCCCTTGGAGAAAGGTACATTTATTGAGAAAAACCGGCAGGTAGGAAGGAAGATGAACAGTCATCTATAGACCTCATTTGCTTTGCTGGGCACCATGCTCACCTGAGATTATACTATTTGTGAGTCTTTTAAAAATATTTTTTCAAATAAGTCAAAGGTTAATGATTAAAGGAAGTTTGTGTACAGACCCTTATACATGAGTATTAGCTACTTTCTTGAGTTGCAGGGTTCTGCTTAAGTAATTAGAAGAACAATTGAGGCATTTAGGGAACACTTGTATTTCAGCAGATGACAATACGCATAAGAGATCTTTTAAAGTAAAAATGGAATCTCATACATTTGAAAGAAACTCTTAAAGAATAGACCTGGGTTGGAGGTGTCGCTCAGTGGCAGAGCATTTGCCTAGTTCTACCCTCAGCACTACAAAAAACAAAACAAAGACCCAAAGGAAGAGTGGAAAGATGCTAGAGGGAATATTGATTGTCTGGTGAGCAGATAGATTTGATAATCAAATGAAATTTCTTTGTTCTGTTTTTCTGTTTTAGAGCCACACTTGATTTAAACAAGTATCACAATTGGATCCTAAAAGTACTTGGTAAAGGTTTGATAGGGAATAAACTACTCAGTCCCAAGGTACGCTCAGATATTATCACCAAGCAAAACATTAAATACACAGTGAAAAAAACCCTGTAGACACTACCTTGTAAGATAACAAGGCTAACTTAACTAAAATTGAAACAACGTAGTAATGCTGTCAGAATGTCTATCCTGAATTTATTCAGGAGGAGACATCAGTCTACTCCAAAAGGAAGAGCATTCCACAAAGCTGGCATATCTTCTTAAAAAATGTCACTGTCGTGGACATCTTTTCATAGCAATAGGCATGTATTTACTTATATTATCCTTTTTCGTCGCTTCTTGGCCATTTGGCTAAGATCAAGTATAGTATATTATCCTTTTCATTGGCTTCAGTGTTTGTTATAATATATTTAATCATTTCCCTATTAATAATTTTAGGTTGATTGTGATTTTTCTTTATTATAAACAATATATGGTAAAGATCATTCTTTTGTCTTTAAATATTTGTTACACTGCTATTCTCTTTAGATTCTTTGCTGTGTCAAAGAATGCACATTTTATTTTGTTAATAAGGTCAGACAGACTTCTTGAAGGTCAGGTATTGTTTGTGGTGGGGGCTGTCAAGCTAGCTAGCTAGCTATTTATTTATTTAGTGGGTTGGACTCCAGGCCTTGCCACTGAGCTATATGCCCAGCCCTTTTTGTTTTTGAGACACAGGTTTGACTATACTTTGAATCCTATGATTCCAGCTAACTAAAGCTAAAACTGATAATTCCTTTTTATCATAATGCTTTTGTCATTCTTTTTGACTCAGCTTTTAAAAGCCATCCATCTTCAAGGCCATGAAGGACCGGTTTATGTGGTGCATGCTGTTAACCAGAGGACGGCATCAGATGCTGCATCACACACACTGATAGTTTCTGCATCTTCAGATTCTACTGTCCGGTTCTGGTCTAAAAAGGGTTCAGAAGGTAAGTTAGGATACATTATAATCCAGATAAATTAAATAGTAGTTATTAAATGACAACTAGAAAAAACATTTATATGGTTTTTCCAAACTTTCAAGTAACTTTGTTTTTGTTTTTTGTTTTTTGAGACAGGGTCTGTGTAGTTCGGGCTGGCCTTGAACTCACTGTGTATCCCCAGGCTGATCTTAAACTTATGGCAATCCTCCTGCCTAGCCTCCTGAGTGTTGGGATTATAGGCATGTGGCACCATGCCTGGTTTTCAAGTAGCTTTTAAATGTTTGGATTTTTTTTTTTAATACTTTCTCAAAAATCCTCTCCATCAAACTGTTTGACAGTGTAAATTTATTTTAAGCCTTTTCATACAAGTTGTTTTGTTCTCTGAAACATTGTTGAAATTTGGCCATTTAATTTCACATGATCAGTGGGGCCTCAGGATTGACCTTTGTCATCTACATGCTTACACCCAGAGCTGTGATAATTCTACCCAAACTCTCTAGGTAGGTAAGCTCAGAGATAGTTGTTCATGGTGTTTTTTGTTGTTTCTTAGTAACATGCCTTCAGACCTTGACCTTTGGAAATGGATTTGCTCTCGCTCTCTCCTTATTCTTTTTGCCTAATACTGATGGTGAGTATTCTGCTAAGTGTATATTAAAAGAGCAATATACAGTATGTGCCTATCTCCACATGACCAGAACCTAAAAGAAATGTATCTTAGTTTTGTATCTAGATTTTTTATTTTTTGTGTTGCTGGGGATGGAACAAAGAGTCCCACATGTGGTATGCAAGCACTCTATTACTGAGCTACTCCTCTGCATCTAAATATATTCATGAAAAAATTCAGATGTGGATAACATTTTTGTTACAATATTCAAGTGTTCTAAATATATAGAACATGAGGATAAGGAGAGACTACTAGGAATGTGGTAGCTGTTCAAAATGTAACTGACTTAATATATACTCAAGATTGGTACTGCTATTTGTGAACTAGATTATGAATGTATATAGATATAATTTAGGGAATGTATCTAATTAGAAGGTGAAGGTTTGTAATAAGTTGAAAATTACTGAGGATGGTCCTTGTGAAATTACTGTCAAGATGACAACTTCACATCCTACATAACAAGTTAAAATCTCCAGACAGAAAAAGTTCCTTTTTGCTTTGCACCCCAGCTGTGCCTATCTTGTTTGTTTGTTTGGAGACAGGGTCTCCTCTCACTATACAGTTCAGGTTGGCCTTGAACTCACTATGTAGCTAACCAAGGTTGGCCTCAAACTTCAAAGGATCTTCCTGCTTCAGCCTCCCCAAGTGCTGGGATCACATGCACCACCACATCTGGCTTTATCTTTTCTTTATCTTCCATGAAGATGGTAGCTAATATAAAGTAATTCTCTTTCCCTCCTTTGTTACCTGGAAGACAGGTTGGTGGCAAGAGGCAGGGCCTGGAAGCACCAGCCTCTCTTGCCTTTTGCAGCAGAAACTGTGCCTCCATGGTTTCATGTTTAGCTTCCATTTTGTGCAAAGGTTCCCCAAGAGCAGAAGCTGCATACTCTCTGGTTTAATAACACAGAATTTCATTTCTTTCCACTGACATTGAGAACAAGTGACTAGCTATTGTTTTGTTTGTTTTGTTTTTTTAGTTGACTTAAAATAAAACCTTTGAAAAACACATTTAGTAGCAGGACATTTTCTTCTGTGTTCCTATTTTGTCTTGCTCCAGAATCATTAGAGCTATCCTTTGGGAATGTGAATTTGTTTTTTTATCTTATTAAAGAAAGCTCATTATAGTCACTCCTTTCATAGCTTTTTAGCTGCATATTTAATTACATGCTTTTATTTTGTTTCAGTGTTGAATTTGTTCTCAAAATATACAGCCCTTCAAGTCACAAATGTACTCATGAATCATTGTATAGCAGCTGTGGTGCTAGGCTTGTATAGTAACTCAGATTTATTCAGTTGGGCTTACAACTTTTCATATTCATCTTTTAGCTGATAATGGTGAAAATCTTTTGCCCTGCTTGCTCTTGAGCTTCTTTTTCACTGTTGCTTCTATCATAAATGTAATAGAATGAAGATACTAATTATCTCAGTGATAAAATAGTTAATATTTACCAAGTAACAACTGAATAGAATGTTTTAGAGTGTCTGTTTTATTCTTGGAGACTTTTTATGGTTTGTTTGGTTTTTTTGGTACCAGGGATTGAACTTGGGTCCTTGCGCTTGTGCTTGCACAGCAGGCGTTGAAACCACTGAGCTACATCCCCAGCCCTATGTTTTGTTTTTTGCAATACTTGGGATTAAACCCAGGGCCTCATGCATACCAGCCAAGTCCTCTAACACTGAGGTACATCCCCAGCCCTTTCCTTTACTATTATTTTGAGACAGAGTCTGGCTGAGTTGTCCAGGATGGCCTTGTAATATTCCAGCCTCTGCCTGCTGAGTGGCTGGAATTTCAGGCATGTACTACCCCACTCAGCTCTTGGAAACATTTATTGAGCACTTTCAATTCATTTGTTCAGTAATGTGGGAATAGAAGTCTGTGTTCACCACCTAGGCTTAGAATCTACATAGAGGATCATACTTATGGTGGAGTACTTACAGTGATGCTTAATTTTCCCCCTCACAGTACCAGTATTAGCCTGTGGTGATGATGACTGCAAAATTCACTTATTTGTGCAACAAAATGATCAGGTAATTAATGATATTTATCTTAACATTAAAACAGTGTTCTGCTTAGTAATATATTTTAATACGGGCTGTTTTTAATTATAAAATTTAAGAAATGTTGTGATTCAAACCCAAATAGTCTAATAGGGAAATCTTTTTTGACAGTCCTATGTTAGGTGGTCTTTCACTCTGTATATCAAGTAACTGCTGTCTTGACTACTAGGCCGAGTTGTTAGGGAGAAATAAGTCGAGGTGTGGGAAAAAGAGAAGGAATACCCGTGTGTGTGTGTGTGTGTGTGTGTGTGTGTTTTCCTTAAATGTTTCAAGAGAGGTTTAACATACCTACAGTGAGCCATCCTGGTAGAGTTTATTTGTCCTTCTGAGCTTTAATCTTTTTTTTTTTTTTTTAGTGTTAGTGGTAGGGGGCTTGAACCCAGGGCCTTGTGCGTGCTAGGATTTACATTCTACCACTGAACTACAGCCCCAATTGCTGAGCTTTTGTCTTGTAAACATTTAAATCCCTTGAGTACTACAGACTATTACATCTATTCAGTGTTGTTTAATTAATGGTTTAGATATTGCATGTTGAGTTTTATTGCCAAGTGAGCGTTTTAGCCTATGTCTGATTAGGTAATGTTTTCAGTAAAAATGATGTAGAATTGACTGAGACAGGTGAAGTCATTAATATGCATGAAAAATGTTAAATGCTTACATTAATCCCCATGAATTTTGTTATCTTACTAGTTTCAGAAAGTACTTTTTCTTTGTGGACATGAGGATTGGATAAGAGGTGTGGAGTGGGCAGCCTTTGGTTAGTATGAACTTTTGCTAACATACAGATGATGGGGGCAAATATAGGTAACTTCTTAGAAAGCAGCCTCTTATTTTTTAATTTAAAAAATTTTTAAGTTTTCTTTATGTAATACCTTTTCATTGTCCCAATTAGATAAGAAGATACTTGGGGCTGGGGATTTAGCTCAATGGCACCACGCCTGCCTTGCAAGGGCAAGGTCCTGAGTTCGATCCCTGGTCCTCCCCCCCAAAAAACAAATAATTTTTAAAAAAAGGAAAAAAGATACTTAACTTTCTCCTATTAATTGAGAATAAAACAAATTGATATTTACAAGATGGTACTGTCTGGCTGCATGCAGACATTCTTGAAATGTTCTTTGCAGAACTCAGTAGACTATCTGTAAAAGTACAACTTTTTATGAAAGTATTGTACATATACTTATTAATGTTATTAAAAATGAATGGATCAAATGACTGAAGGGTAAACAGACAAAAGTATTTTTTTAGGGAATCTAGAAATGTACATATTGTAAGGAGAAAGTCTTCTGAAAAAATTTAAGAATATGTTTTAAAAATAATAAAATGTATTTTTTTAATTAGGTAGAGATCTTTTTCTAGCAAGCTGTTCACAAGATTGCCTGATAAGAATATGGAGGCTCTATATAAAATCGACATCTTCAGAAATGCAAGATGATAATATAAGACTGAAGGAAAACACTTTTACCATAGAAAATGGAGGTAACAGTGAAAATATTTGTTTATTTATTTATTTGTTGGTACTGGGGATCGAACTTGGGTCCTTCCACTTGCGAGGCAGGTGGCAGAACCACTGAGCCAAATCCCCAGCCCACAGTGAAAATGTTTGATATAAAATTATTAGGTCTTGTGAAATTTAGTTTTTCAGAAGTATCAGATTCTAATTTTTGATTTATGAAAGTGTCAGATGAATTTATAAAAGGTTAATAAATTTTCAGTTTTGGGATAGGAAGACCTAAAGAACCAGTGTGAATTTTCCCTACTTTTGCAGTTATATTTGTAATATATATATATATTTGAATCTCTGTATTTGAATAGCATATACAATTCTGGTTTTCCTGTTGTCTAGCATTAAAACAGAATTCCTCGGGCCGGGGATTTAGCCCTGTGGTTCCGCCGCCTGCCTTGCAAGCGCAAGGTCCTGAGTTCAATCCCTGGTACCCAAAAAAACCCAGAATTCCGCCTGGTAAATCTTGCTGGAATGTTATACTTAGATGATGTATTTTTAGATGTGTTTTGGATGCTTATCTGAGTTATAAAGTTAATTCTTGGTAAGTGTCATTCACATAGGTGTGTGGTTATTTATTACTCTTCTTGGTTTTAAAGCCCATTAAAGTTGAGATTTTGGTAATAAAGTTTTATGAGGAGAACCAAGAAGTGACATAACCAGCAAATTATAAGTAGCTGTACCCAAATATGAAAGTTTTCATATTTTTATGGTACTGGGGAATCAAAGCTATGTATACCTAACATACGTTTGTGAAGTATAGCAACTTCAGAAACTTAAAAAAAATTATTTTATATTTATGACTGGGTGGAGAAAACTATAGAGAAATTTATCTTTAGAACTTTTTTCCTATAATTTTAAACAGTGGGTGAGATTATGAAATTTTAAAATGCATGTTCTTTTTGTTGAATCTCAGTGATTATGTTTTGTTCTGATTTTTGTTACATAATTGTACAACTAATGTGGTTATACAGTTGTTGCTTTGAGGACAGAATACCTTCATTGCTTTTGTTGTAGGTAGTAAAGTAACCTTTGCAGTTACTCTGGAGACTGTGTTGGCTGGTCATGAAAACTGGGTGAATGCAGTTCATTGGCAACCTTCATTTTGCAAAGGTAGGGAAAAAAATAACCATAATCCTTTATTTCAGTTGAATTTTACAGTATTTTATTTTATTTATTTATTTGAGGATGGAAATCTTGTTTAATTTTTGAATAGCAAGAAAGATGTATAAAGTAAGATATTGGACTCCAAATGTCAGTTGTTTTACTACAGTATATTTCACATTAAAGTTATTTTAATCTTAGGTTGTGTTCTTTTAGGAAATACCAAGTCTTCAACAACATCTAATTTCCAGTCATTCAGTGTTCCAAAATTGTGTTTAAGGGTGGTTCTTCTTAAGAAAAATTTAAATCTTGATTTTTAAGCTCAAAAAATGTCAAAATGCTAATAAGAAAGTCAAACTGAGGTAGGGTAGGTTAGGATACTCACTTTCAATTTCTGATCTAACTCAAGGAATTAGAATGGTTAGCTGTGAAAGCAAATGAAGTTTACCCGTGTTACTGTTAGTTCAGAAACAACAGATTGAAATATTTTCCACAAGGGACTTGCTGATGAATAATGTAGTGAAGAGCTACAGGCTTTAAACTCAACATTTTCACAAGCTTTATAAATTTGTTTAACTAAGACTTTTTCTGTTTCTTAACCATTGTCAATTATAAAATCTTAGCAGATTCCACTTTAGGCTGTCCAGAATTGGTATTTTTTCCCCACTCCTTGGAAAATATTCATCCATAGTTACTGCATACAGAATATTCATAGAAGCTAATTCTGTAGTCACTTTAAGCTTGCCAGTAACACCTCAAATAAAACTAAGCAGTATTAGTAACATCTGTCGACCCATTAAGAGGCAAAAGCTATTCAGAATTATTTCCCTTTTAAATTGACTATTGATACTGCTTTCAATGTTATTAAGTCTTTTTTTGGTACCAGGGATGGAACTCAGGACCTTGTGCTTCCAAAACCACTGAGCTAAATCCCTGGCCCCATTGTCCTTAACTCTTGAGTTAACTGTTCTTCAGAAAGTCCAGTAGCCTTCAGTTTATTTTCCCTGAATACTTTTTGCCTTCCCTGCCTTTTCTTTCTTCTTTCTTTCCTTCTGTACCTCCTTCCTTTCTTTTTAATGCTCTTTCTCAAATTTCACAGTATTTTTTACAGGTCTCAAAATAACTATTCTTTTGTTTTTCAACCACTTGAAAATGTAGGAACATTCTCAGGTCTCAGGCCATACAAATAGATGGAGGGCCAGACTTGGCCTGCAGGATGTAGTCTGCTTATCCCTGATCTAAATAACCTCAGTTTTTTGTTTTTTTGTTGTTTTTAAATTTACATATATATTTATTGGTACATTTTAGGTATAAAATACATTTACATTTATCATTGGGTGTTTGTACCAGAACATGATGTATCTTAGTTCTTATTTTTTCTCCATTACCTGTGCACCCTTCACCCCCTCCACCCTTCCCTATTTACATAGACTTTGTTCCTTTTTTTTTCTTTCTTAGAATTTTTCCTTTCCCTTCTTCCCTTTCCCCTTCCCCTTCCCCTCCCGCCATCCACTAACCCTTAGACCTTTTCCTATTTCAAATTATCAGTTATTCATTTTAATCATTTTCATCCTTATTTATACTTTCAATTTCTCAAATTAGAGAAACTATTCGGCATTTACACATGTGTGTCCTATTTATTTCACTTAAGAGTGTGGCCTCAATATGCATCCATTTAGCTATAAATGTCTCTAGTTTCTCATTCTTTACGGCTGAGTAGTACTCCATTTTATAAAAAAAAAAAACCACACCTTCTTTATCCAGTTTCCAGTCGATGGGCACTTGGGCTGTTAATAACCTCAGTTTTTATTACCTTTATTGTAATAACTGGTGGTATAGGAGTAATTATGTAAAATTACTACACTGTTCAATAAAGGATAACTATAAAATGCTATTAGTGCTTTCCTATTGTAACAGTACACAATTACCCACACAATTACCTACAAACTCTTTCCAAGAGACCAATGATATTTAAGCATATTTATCCTTTTGGTTTTTTTGAGACAAGGTCTTGTCATGTTGCCTAGACAGGTCTCAAACTCACAATCCTCCTCCCTGAGTGTCACAAGCCACTGGGATTACCTGCATGCACCATTAAGCACATTTATCTAATAAAAAATTGGATATAATTTAGATTATAAAATAATTATTGTGACCATTAGTCCTGATTTGTCAACTTCCTTGGATTAGGAAATGCCTGATTAGTAAAGCATGCTCCAGGGTGTATCTGGGTGTGTCATGGAAGCATGGCCTTGGGCACTTCTTATGGTCCCTATCCCCTGTCTCTCAGGCAGTATTCCCCTGCTGTTTCCTGGCCACCAGGAACTAAACAGCTTTGCTCTGCCATGCCTGTCTGCCATCATGTTTCTGCCTTGGAGCCTGCTATGTACTGAATCTCCTGAAAATATGAGTCAAATTCAGCCTTTCTCCCTTTAAGTTGTGGGTGTTGAGTATTGTGTCTCAGCAATAGTAGGAAAGCTGACTAATACAATTATATAGTATGATTTAGATAAAAATACAGTTTTCATCCAGACTTTAATTTGGTAATGATAAGATGTCAAAGCAAAATATTTGAGAGTTCAATATTAAATTTTTATGAAATTATACAAATTATATTTTACTACATAAAATTATAGTGGTGAGATGGAGAAAACACTTCCAATAAGTATTTGAAACAGTTTCTGTTTTTTCTTCTGAAAGGGGATCATCTGTCTTTTGCCGCTTAACAGGTGAATCTTCATGATCCTCTAGTTTGATGGTCTGGTTCTTGTAGAGTACAGCAGCCGGGATCTGAAAGGTGATGCATAGCATTTCTTTGTTAGGGCCACGTTCCTTACTGGGTGAACTGAACTGCATGCCTCCAGGGAAACACCTAGTGCAGTTCCAGCTCATTGTCGCACATCCTCAGCAGGATCAACATCTTTGGAAAAACTGTAACAGTGCACTCTGGGAAGGAGTTCACTGCTGCACTGCATGGCTGCCCATCTAAAAGTGATCTGAAAGCACCGAGAAATTCTATAGCCTTTGCTGGCAAGTTCGTGACAATGTGGGTGGAGGATTTTCTCCTGACAATTCCAGCTGCTGCAGTAACTCTTTGAAGTTTTACAGTATTTTAAGCTGACTAGCTGGAGTATTTTTCAGAGTGTGATTAGAAATCTCAAAGACAAGACACTTTCAAGTTGGTAGAAGGTAAAGTTCATTCCTCATGTGCTGGATTCTCAATTCCATTGAAAATTGCATTGTTAAGTAGGCAAAGTATGATTCTTGCCATGATGCCAAAACTATCTCATACTCTGTGATCTTCGTCTCTTAAAAGTTTTTAAATAGTCACTGAGGGGCTTATGAAAAACTGACTTTTCTTTTCACTGAGCTACATACCCAGCCCTTTTTAAATTTTTTGAGATAGTGTCTCACTAAGTTGCCCAGGCTGAGGTCAAATTTGAGATCCTTCTGCCTCAGCCTCCTACAGTGGTAGAATTATAGGTGTGTGCCACCATACTTGGCTCAAAAAAATTGACTTTCAAGTCAGCTTCACTGAACTCTTTAAGATACATTATTTATGAAAAATTAAGACTCTCTTTTTTCTTCTTTCACCCTTAACCTGCACTTAGGAGTGGTGGGTTTAGTTTGGTTTTGCTTTGTTTTGTTTTGTTTGTTTTGCTTTTTGAGATACGGTCTCACTGTGTAGTCCAGGCTGGCCTCAAACTCTGGAGCAGTCCTCCTGTCTCAGCCTTCCTAGTGCTGAGATTACAGGAGTGTGCCACCAAGGAATGGTGGCTTTATGATGCCTAATGTGCTGATGGTAGAGCTGAGTAAGACGGAGCCTATGTTCTTCCCCCAACCCCTTCTCTAAAAAAGAATTGTGGTAATTAATGCTCAGGTAATGACCAGTCAGCTCTTACTTATATCATTTGCTTTGGTTATAATTATTTTCTCTTTATGGGCCAACTCTGATTCGTCCCATCTAGCCTTGCCTCATGGCTTCTTGTGCATCCATAACACCTCCATTTTTCCAGCCCAAGTCCTTTACTACCAGTTAAAACAGGTATCAGTATCTACTCTGTTCTGGGAGTTACTGCTTTACCATCCCTGCACCAGAGAACCACCTAGCTGTATGACCTTAGAGGTTCATCTTTAATTTAAAAATCAGAAAGAAACCTCAATCTCATTTTTACTAATAATTTGAAATTATATTTTCACTATTAAATAAAAATAAGAGGCCATTATTTTGGACTAAGCATTTATACGAGGGCCCTGCAGACCATTCTAAATATCAAAATGATCACTCATGTTAAAATTCTGCCTCACTCAGGCTGGGGGTTTAGCTCAGTGGTTCCGCTGCCTGCCTAGAAAGTGCAAGGTCCTGAGTTCGATCCCCGATAGCTAAAACTTAACTTTTTATCTGACCTTCCAAGAGAAATCAGGATTAGAGAGGTAACATATTTTCCATGGTTTAAAAAAAAGTGGATATTATAGATTCTGATGTTGTTTCGAGCCTTTCCAATGTATCCTTCTGGAAGGCAACTATAGTACTGAATTCAGTGCATATCATTCCCATGCATATTTTTATATTTTTATTAGGCATTTATATTGCCCTAAACATACTGTTTTACAGCTATTAAAACTTGCTATCAATATGTATTTACCTTTTACAGTGTTCCTTTTTAGTTTAACATATTTTAGAAATCTATCGATTTTAATTCATGTAATTCTAATTATTTTTTATTATACTATAATATTCCATTGCCTGACTATAACTATGACTTGCTTAACTGTTCTTTTCATGTGGTGTTTGCAGATTTTTGCATTATAAACAATGCTGCAGTGAACATTTGTGCAGTACAGCATCTCCATTGTTTTTTTCTGATAAGCTACAAAAATGGTGCCTGTTGATCATCTAAAAGCATTGGTTTTTATTATTTAGATGGTGTTCTCCAGCAGCCAGTGAGATTGTTATCTGCCTCAATGGATAAGACCATGATTCTCTGGGCTCCAGATGAAGAGTCAGGAGTTTGGCTAGAACAGGTAAGATGTAATACTTAAGGAAGAAGAAATTGGACTTTATAAACTAAATACTTAATCCTGAATCTGTATTTCAAGAGCTGTACATTTTTACACTTTTTATACATTAGATGAGTTGAAACTTAATCTCTGGAATCCATTCCCGTTGTGAAATGGGACTATTGGTTGAGAATTATTTTCTGTCTATTACTACATAGGTTCGAGTAGGTGAAGTAGGTGGAAATACTCTGGGATTTTATGATTGCCAATTCAATGAAGATGGCTCCATGATCATCGCTCATGCTTTTCACGGAGCACTGCACCTTTGGAAGCAGAGTACCGTCAACCCAGTAAGAAAAGCACTTTTAAAGTATTTCTAGTCATATAGAGTGAATCCTAGATGAAACCTAAGTAGGGCTTACTTATAACACTGTACAAAACGATAGTTGAAGCATTTAAGTGACATTTCTTTCTTTTTTTCTTTCTTTTTTGGTACTGGGGATTGAACCTCAGGACCTTGTGCTCGCAAGGCAGGCATGGTGCCACTGAGCTAAATCCCCGGGCCCGACATTTATTTCTATAGACACTGTGTTCATACTAGATAAGAAACTCAGACTTTTTTACAAAGAAAGTACAAATATGTACAGCATTGATGAGGTACTGCAAGTATAAATGGGTATATTTAGAGGGCTAGAACATAGCTGAGTCGTAGAGTGCTTGCCTAGCTTGTGTGAGGCACTTGGTTTGATCTCCAGCACTACCACCAAAGGGGAAAAAAAAATTGTGTACATGAAAAATAGGGCCCAGTATGTACTGTACATGATGTATGAATTATGGTATGTTAAATAAGTAAATGAAAGAAATAAGAACATTGAGTGAAATATGATTCAGTATGTTCTGAACATCCATCTGATAGCTTCCCTTAATGTAAAAATTCATGAATTTACATAACTTACTTTGTGAGCTTTGTAATAGTTTTGTCATCCATGAGGTTTTGACTTTTAATTTATGAAGGGATTTACTCTTTCACTTGTGTCCTCTTGGAGTTGACCCGTAAGAGTGTTTTGACTATTAAAAGCTCTGAAACTGTTAAGGTTAATATTTTTTAAGATAAATTTTATTTTCTTAACTGAAGGCATTCACAGGAAAAAAGACAGATTATTAAGGAGAAACCCAAACCAGGAGACAGAATCTCATTGTACTTGTCATTATAATTTGACTTATCAAGTGTTGAGGATAATTTGCTTTTTAAATGGGTGTCATATTTTAGAGCTGTTTTAGAGTAATAGCAAAGGTGAGTAGAAAGTAGAGTTCCCATATACCCCTGACCTAATGTATATATAGCCTTGCCCACATGTATGTTGTATGTACAGCATCTCACACCCAATTCCTAAATTTGTAATAGATAGTACCACTTTCTTTTCTTTTTCATGGCTGGGGATTGAACCCTAGGGCTCACACAAGCTAGGCATATGCTCTGCTCCTGAGCTACATCCCCACCTGAGTGACTTTTGGAAACAAATAAGCACTGCCATTTAGTACTGTTTCTGTCGAAAGTGGTGTGGTTAATTCAGAAGTGCTATCCATTGCTCAGCATCTTTTATAAACTCCAATTAGTACTAACTTCACAATCTCTTTTTAGGTCACAGAAAAAACTAATATAATTTCTTTGTCACAGCCTGTTTTTTTAACCAGAAATAAGATAATTACTGACTATGTTCATCAGACTTGGCTTTGAATGACCTTTAAGTTATTTACACAAATTTCTTTTTTTCTCTGTGGTCAAATTTTACTACCACTTGAGATTATTTAAAAAGAGACTGGACCAATCATACGATATTTTCTATATTTTGTCGTCATTGTTTATATGGTTGTTATTGCAAGCTCCTCAGTAGATAAACCAACTAGGTTTGGTTTGTCTCTGTCCTTTATACTCATAACTCCTCTAACTTAATAAAGCCACCACACACACACTTAGATCTACTAACTTGTTTTACATAATACTATTTTTTGTTTTTTTCCCACAGTACTGAGGTTGGAATCCAGGGCTTTACAAATGCTAGGCAAGCACTGTATCATATAGCTTCAGCCTTTTTGTTGTTGTTTTGGTTTTTTGAGGCAGGGTCTGGCTATGTAGTTCAAGCTAGCCTCAAACTCACTATGTAGCCCAGGCTTCAAACTCACAACGATCCTCCTGCCTTATCCTCTCAAGTGCTGGGATTACAAGCATGTGTCACCATGCCCAGCTATTTTTATTGAAACAAGTTCTCACTAAGTTGTGCAGGCTGGCCTTGAACTTGTGATCCTCTGCCTTATCTCCCCAAGTAGCTGGAACTACAGGTGTGTGCCATCATGCCTCATTCATGTAATACTTTTTCTTTTATTCATTTTAACAAATATAGGGTACAAATACATGCCATCATTGTTCTTCATACAAATATAAATTCATTTAATCCTCTTGATGCTCTCTGAGGTAGATGCCAGTATTATAGTACTTATTTTACAGAAGAGTTATTTAAGAAGGATTAAGTTGTGTCCGTGCTGGAAAATATTGAATAAATGATGGGGTGGGAAATTTCCAAGGTTACTGTTCAGAAGGTACACCTAAGTTCTAATATGGTTGATTGGGAAGCAGATCATATTATTTACAGTCTTGTCTTGTAATACTTAGTGTTTCATGTTGCCAGGGCTTTAGTTTCTTTTTCCCAGACAAGAATGCTTTACTTTGAGTAGTGATGGTTTTTTATTATTTTGATACACGTCATGAGCACTTTCATTGCAGAGAGAGTGGACTCCAGAGATTGTCATTTCAGGACACTTTGATGGTGTCCAAGACCTAATGTGGGATCCAGAAGGAGAATTTATCATCACTGTTTCTACTGATCAGACAACTCGACTTTTTGCTCCATGGAAAAGAAAAGACCAATCACAGGTAAAATGTCTTCTTAATTGATTAATCCACTTAAAAACACTTCCACGAACACATGCAAAGTGGGCTAACATTGTTAGTCTTTAGGAAAATGAAATTAAAACAATGAGATGCTAATATAATAACTCCAGATTGGCTAAAGTAAAAAAAAATACTGATGATAACAAGTACTGGTAAAGATGCAGACTGACTAAAACTTTGATACATTGCTGGTGGGAATGCAAAATGATCTAGCCACTCTGGAAAATAGTTTGGCATTTTCTTTAAAACTTAAACATATACCTACTCTTTGCTCTTTATTTATTTATTTATTTATTTTTAAAAATTTTTTGAGGCAGGCTCTCCCTTTGTATTTCAGGCTGGCCCTGAACTCACTGTGTAGCCCAGGCTGTCCTCAAACTCAAGATGATCCTCCTGCCTCAGCCTCCCCAGTGCTGGGATTACAGGCGTGCACTACCACCCCTGGCTCTGCAGTTTAAATAATAATTGAAATGATAATTGTCAAAATGTATTTATTTAATTTAACACAACCATTAGGGCCAGGGATTTAGCTCAGTGGCGCCATGCCTGCCTGGCAAGCACAAGGTCCTGAGTTCGATTCCCAGTACCAAAAATAAAGTTATATGTCTTGCAATTTTAATTTTTTTTTTTTTGAGACAGGGTCTTGCTATATAGTTCAGGCTGGACTTGAATTCACTATGTAGCCCAGGTTGGCCTGGAACTCATGGAGATTCTCCTACTTCAGCCTCCCAAGTACTGGGGTTATAGGCTGTGCCACCTTGCCCAGCCAAATTTATGTTTAATTCATTTGGAAACATCAAGTTTATAGTAAAAGCTAATTCCTAAAATCATATAATGTTAAATAATAATGATTGAGAGCAATTCCTGTTCAAGAAAAGTTTCAATCTTGGCCATAAAACTTTACCACTAGTAAGCCATTGACCTGCTGTGTGGTAAGAAAAAATGAGGTTCCTCAGCTGTAATTTCTGACAGAAGTTCACAAAACTGATCAGAGGTCAGTCTATGAGAGCTAAGGAAGTCAGTGACATTGCTATCTCACTAGCACATGGCATCTCCTTGAGCAACATCCATAATCAACTGCAAAACAAAGTCAGATGATTTGAAATGTTTTTCTGTAGCTCGTGTTATATCAATAGTTAAAAATTTATTTGTGGATGAATCTGCTCCATGGTCATAGTTCTTTGGATAGTAAATAATTTTGCATTTCATATTTAGCTTATTGAAAAGAATTGGTTATTGAAATATGGTCATTTTTGTTTATTTTAATTCGCAGGTGACTTGGCATGAAATTGCAAGGCCTCAGATACATGGATATGACCTGAAATGTTTGACAATGATTAATCGGTTTCACTTTGTATCTGGAGCAGATGAAAAGGTTCTTCGAGTTTTTTCTGCACCTCGGAATTTTGTGGAAAATTTTTGTGCCATTTCAGGACAGTCAGTGAGTCATGTGCTTTGTGATGTGAGTATTTCTCTAAATGTTTTTCTTCTATCTGGTCACTTTGTTTTAAATTCTAAATTTTTTTGCTTGAGTCTACAAATGCTCAAAAGTCATTCATTATTGGCTTGACAAACTTTTGTGTGCACTGTAGCATTTAATGATACAAATATTAAACCAGTAATTTTGTTTAACAGATGAGCTCAAAATACTGTAAAGCAGCAATGTTGTGTTCATTTGTGACATGGATATTATATATTGTTGCTGTGCTAGGTAATTAAGATAAATTATAAAAGCTGGGTTCTATTTTCAAGGCAGGCGGCGGAACCACTCTGCTAAATCCCCAGCCTTCTGTGTTCCATTTTCAAAGAGCTTACTCTCTTTCTGTAGGATGAGGGTAAGGGAGCAGTGGAACTAACAACTGAAACCAGGTAATAATAACAGATGCTGATGAGGCTGCAAGGAAAAAGGAGCCTTTCTACATTCTTGGTGGGAATATAAACTAGAACAGTCACTATGGAAATTACAGAGATTGCTCAACCAACTAAAACTAGAAATTCCTTTTGACCTAGCTATTTCCCTTCACAATTAGCTTCCTGGAAGAGTTAAAGACATAGTACAGTGATCATCCATATCCATGTTTATAGTGGCACAGTTCATAATAGCTAAATCTTGGAAGTAGCCTGTATGTCCATCAACAGATGAATGCATATAGAAAGTGTGGTATTTGCTTATAATGGAATTCTATTCCACCATAAAGAAAGATAAACTTGAGTCATACATAGGAAAATAGAGGAACCTTGAGGCATAATGTTAAATGAATCAGACACATACGCTTAAAGATCACATAGTTTGTCTTATATGAGAAACTCAAATTAGAAGTGAAGAGCAAAATGAAAGGTAGATAATAGTAAGAAGATAGCTCTTTCTCAAATGGAAAGGGGATCAAGAGATAGAGGGGGAGAAGAAAAATGTGAAAAAAGGAATTAAGATGTGTTACATACACATACCAACTCCACACAAGAAATGTAAACATGTACTACAAATATGTACTAATTTAAAAAAAAACAAAAACGGTTAATTGCTAAATCTTTAGGTGATAAAATAAATTTCACAGAAGGAAGAAGTCACTGTATTAGTAATGAGAACACATTCAATGGGACTTCACTTGGGATTTGTAAGTTTTTATTTTTGATTATACCCCTTTTCTATAAAAGATTTGAGGTTCTTATAAAAAATACATGGCTTATAGAAATTATAAAGTACTTTTGAAGGAAGAGAAATTAAGTAAGAGGATCACTGTGTTACACAGAAGTGTGTATCATACAGTCCTTTACTTACACTTGGGTAATAGATTTGGTTCTGAGCTTGATAGCAGAAGGGAGGTAGGAGAGCGAGCAAGCAGAAGGGTGACCAGTGCTTTGGGGGTATATGTTGGAAAGAAGAGGGAAATGAAGCAGTGGCAGAAAGTCAAATAGAATATCTTGGGAGGCAGGCACAGCTCAGACTGCAGGGTGCTGTTGGAAGCCCCCACACAAAGACTGTGATAAAAAGAAGTTTGGGACAAACAGTTATCTGAGGGCCTGGAGACTGAAGAAAGTGAAATCACCACCATCTGGGATAAGCCTGGAGAAGAAAGTGAGAGTCGTTTGAAATGAAGCATTTAGGTAGCTACATTTGCTGAAGTACATGTTGTGCTTCATGCCATGAGCTTTCTTAATTACACCAAAAGGATTTAAGATTCTCTTCTGCTTGTTCCTAGTAATAATGGACAATGGGAATGAGAGCCAAAGAGAAGTCTTGTTTGTAGTTACTGACTTCCTATTTGTAGTTTAGCATATGGGTGTGAGGGGCAGTCCTGTTCAGGATCTCTTCAATTCTAGGGATTGAAATGTGGTTTCATGGGGTTCCACAAAAGGCTCGGTCCCAGCTATACAGTGAAGTCTGTGTCCCAAAATGCAGGAAGTCTGTTCACTGGAATGTCTCTTGTTCTATTCCAGGCTTTGCTCCTTCTCTGAGTGTTGGGATAACCATATAGGAATGTTTATTGCTCTTTTCTGTTATTTTTCTTGGTTTCAGATATAAAGTGTGCAGTTCCTTATGTCCCGGGTAGCCATTCTTTATGGTGGTTTAAACTCACATTACTCATGCTTATGTTTAGTTTCAGCCCCTGTATTAAAGTTTAAATTGTAAGAAACACTCTAAGCATATGGTCTGGTGCCAGTTTTGATGGCTAGCATATGGTTCCACAAGTAGCAACTTGGTTGCTTTAAATTGCAGAATGTGAGCAGAGTATTGCCTCTTTAAGTGACACTCTTACCAAGTTTTAGAATACAGTTTCCAGTTATTTAAATATGGTCAGTGAAAATACTATGACTCTCCCTTTCTGGGACACATCTGTGTTTATAGGATCATTATCAAAGATATGCCTGTGAGGCCTTCTTGGAGGTGGAGATCTGGGCTTTCCTTTTTCTGTCTTTCTTGTCAGAATCTCAAAACCATTGAGCTGTTAGGATTTGATGAGCTCTTGCATGACAGGATGACTGACTTTGTGGATTGGGTGAGAGTTAAGGGTTAGGCCTTGTCCGAGAGTGGTTGCTCAGCATTGCATCTCTTGGTTCAGGAAGTGGAACAGTAGGCATATGTCCACACAAGGGGGTCTTGAAACAGTTTTTCAGCATTTATGAGCATGACTTTTACAGTACCTGAGGTAGCAGTAACTTTAAAACTTTGATATATGTTATTTTTTATTCCAGCAAGACAGTGACCTTCCAGAAGGAGCTACTGTCCCTGCATTGGGATTATCAAATAAAGCTGTCTTTCAGGGTAAGATTGTGTTCTGAAAAACTATTGAACCCATACTGGTATATAAAACCTAGTTATAGACTAATTTATAAGATATACCTAATGTTTGCTACTGAAGATTTTTTAAAGTAACAACACACACATCTTCTCTATCAAACATTTTGAGATAAGTATTCTGTTTACACATGTAGAGCATTAAAGTAGGTACAGTTTTTACCAAGTGTTTTACAGAACACTGCAACCACACATATGAATGTGGATACCCTTGACAATCTATCTGTTGTGTAGTCTAAAACTTTGAACTGTTAGGTCAAAGAAAATGGCAGGAATCCTTATGGAATTGGTTAATGGATCTAGGAGCTTGTTTGGAAAATACTGGAGCAGTAGAATAATTTTTGCTTTGGAACCATGTGGATAAAGCTTTGAAATATGTATGCCATTTTGAGATATCACTGCTTTCTAATGGGTGATGGCCTTAGTACTGGGATGGCATAAGTGACATAAAGATGGCCACTCCGATCATGATGGTGTGCTTCTTTCACTAGGAGATACAGCTTCTCAGCCTTCTGATGAGCAAGAGCTATTCACTAGTACTGGTTTTGAGTATCACCAGGTGGCCTTTCAGCCCTCCCTGCTTACTGGTAAGAAATGATAAAAACATGATTTAATGATCACTGAAGAGCCGGGGATTTAGCTCAGTGGCACTGTGCCTGCCTTGTAAGCACAAGGTCCTGAGTTCAATCCCCAGTACTGGGAAAAAGAAAAAGAAAATCACTGGTACACACAGTATGGTATATCACTGCTGACCTAAATAAGTGCTATAGAATTTCCTGGGTTTGGTCTAAAAAATTCATTGGAATACTGTACATTTATTATAGAACCTCCCACTGAGGATCATCTTCTGCAAAATACTTTGTGGCCTGAAGTTCAAAAACTGTAAGTTAAATTATGCTCTTTGGTCTGATTCTATTATAATATGTGCCTCCACAGCAACTTGATTTTTTTGTTCATTTGCTCGTTTTTCTTTTTTTTGAGACTCACTATGAAGTTCAGGCTGGCCTTGAACTCACCATGTAGCCCAGGCTGGCCTCAACCTTCCAATGATTTTCCTGCCTCAGCCTCCTGAGTGCTGGGATTATAGATGTACATCACCACATCCCGCTTCAATTTGATTTTGGTACTTTGCCTTCCTCTTGCCTACATTTGTTTCCTGCTTTATAGCTCTTTTTAGTGGCCCTTCAAAGGGATAAGAAACCTCACATTGATTTTTATATTCCTATTTATTAAGCATATTGGTCTTTTTTAAATAGAGTGGCATAACATATTTTTCCTTTTTAAAAAAAGACATAAGTTTTGTTATTCTAACTGCCTTTTTTTTTTTTTTTGTACCAGGGATCAGACTCAGGACCTTGTGCTTTCAAGGCAGTGGTAGAACCACTGAGCTAAATCCCTGGCTCTACCTGGTCTTTTTTGTCTTTGGTGGGTCCCTTCAAAATTTTTCCATGATGGTTAATTGTGCTGGCTGGATGGGAGTAGGAGGTAAAAACCTGTATGTCAATCTAATTGTGAATGAGCTGTATTACTTTTAGGAAACTGGCATTTTTCTCCAGTCTCCCCGTTTTTCCCCAAAATATTTGCCTGCACAAAAATGTAATCTTTAAAAGAAAAAGTGTTAGCTAGAGAGATTGATGTTAATCTTTTTACTTTCTAAATTTTTGAACTATGAGAATAGATATATTTACTAATACAGAGATCATGCATTTTTCTCTTTAAATTTTAGATATGGACATGGCTTTGAAATATTTTCTGTTACTTGTAACAATTCAAAGACTGTGCTTGCCTCAGCTTGCAAGGTAAGAAGTTTTACTTTTGATTCTACTTGATCATGGGTTACCTGGATCATCAGGCTCCTTTAAGTTTGGTTAAGATTGAAGCAGAACTTTAGAGTGAGAGAGCACCATGTCTGCTTTTCCTTAATCATACTTTTTCAAACTCTTTTCCTTTTGTTCTTTCAGAGGGTTATACTTGCATTTTACATCCATTTTAGCTGTACATTTTTGTTTTTAGATACTGTACAGTTGACCCTTGAACAGTTCAGGTGTGGGGTGCCAGCCCCTGTGCACGGTTGAAAAATCTGCATACCGCTTTCTGTGTATGTGGCTGGGATTGAACCCAGGGCCTTGTGGATGGTAGGCAGGTGGCCTACTACTGAGCTACATCCCATCCCAGCCCACAGATACAGTTGTATTTGTCTTTCCTGTCACTAGGACAAAACACCCAACATCTGCAACTTCAGCGTGGAGCAGTTTATTTTGGTTCACTTTCAGTGGGTTCAGTCCATGTTCAGCTGGCTTTAATGCAGAAACAGCTTGGTAAAAGTGCATGGCAGAGGAAGACAGCTTGTGTCATGGCAGCCAAGAAGCAGAGAGAGAGAGGAGAAGCCAGGGACAATAATACACCCTTTTAAGTCATGACCCGCCCCCCCATGACCCGCCCCTTCTGACCAGGTTCCCCCTCCAAATGTGGGACATTTTATTTTTTATTTATTTATTTGGGGTGGTGTTGAGACAGTGTCTCACTTTGTAGTTCAGGCTGGCCCTGAACTCACTATGTAGCCCACAGGAGCCTCAAATTCACAGCAATCCTCCCTCCTCTGCCTCCCAAGTGCTGGGATTACAGGCATGCACCACCATGCCTGGCCCTTTGGGATCTAGGCCATAAATCTATGGCCTTTAGATCTAGGTCATAACAATAACTTTTGACTCCTTACAGTGGCAACAGAAAGTGTCTATAAAGTTATTACTTTAGGGTTTTTTTTTTTGCCAGTAGCGCCATTACTCTTTATGCTTTTATTTTGCATTTGTGTAAAAAAAAAAAACTTTTGCAAGAAAAATCAACAGGTACAAAGTAGTATCCAGTCCCATTCCAAGTAATATGTATGCATATGTATTTTTTATTTATCACTTGGAAATAAAATTAGAGGGAAGTATCTCTAGACTCTTGGATTTAGCTTCCTTGGACCAGAATCAAGAAGATGCAGGGCCCCAAACCTAGAACAGTCATCATGTAACAGATTTGTGTTTATTTTCTATGGTAACATATGAGAGTCTATTGTCCTCAAATATGTTATGCAAATATGACATCACTTTTTCTTATTTTTTCATTATTTCTTGGCTATGTAGTTTGTCTTCAATTTTTTTTCAAATTGTTGCAAGTCTCCAAAAGAAATCTGTGTGTAAGGGGAGCCGTGCAGTTCAGAGCTGTGTTGTTAAGGGTCAACTGTACTTTTTTGTTTGTTTTTCCATTAAGTTTATTGGTACATTTTAGGTATAAAATACAGTTACATTCATCATTGGGTTCTTGTACCTTTACATGAGTATCTTGGTTCTTATTTTTTTTCCCCTTCCCTT